AGAAGGTATGGTTAGCTTGCACGTGCACGCACGTGCATGCATTTAGAACGAGTATAATTAAAAATACACTTGAATGAGTGATGTTTATTACTTTTGGACGGAATGCTTTAATATATAGTATATTAAAAAATATATATGGTGTAGACAAGATGATATGGTCATAACTCACATGCATTCACATGCGCTGGGGTGCAATGCAAAAATTTGAATATAATTGGTATCCTTTTGGGAAAACGTTGTTAAAGTCAAAAATGCACAGAGTTTGTCTTATTTAATGAAGCTTACAGGGAATATGGCACCAAAAGGGAGTTGGGGAGCGTTTGGGGAACATCTGCAACGGTTCCCGTTACAATTAGCACTAGTTTCAATTTGAAATACATGTATATCATAATTATGACACTGTGAAAGTAAAGTATATTCACACACTATGCATACACATTTATCAAACGAAAGGTATTAATCATAAAGTATTCTTATTAATATTATAGGCAAATTTTAGCAGAGTTTTCGATACAAACTTATCTCATTATCACAGTAGTGGCATTTTAAAGGTGATTTATTAGATCTTAAAGGTGAAATTGAACACCATTTAAATGACATTGAATTGAGTGGCGTCTTATGTTAAATCAATCACAGTACACTCTATAAGGAGATCCCCCAGAATCAACACCGGGACGAGGAATTTAAACACTCCTCTTGTACATATGAACAGTTATGACATTTCTCTCTCAAAATGGCCAATGAAATTGAACTTTTCTGATGAGAAAGTCTATTTAACATGATAACCAACTTATTACACTCCTTTATTTAATATGAATCCATTACCATGATTACTTATTTTGTTCAATGTGTTAATTCAAAAGCCATGTAAGCTTTAACAATCTTATCATGCTTATCGTGCTTATAGTGCCATTCTTTTATTGGCAATATAATCTTACTTCCAGTAACTAGTCCTTGGTAAACATGGTAAATTGTGCATGTTCATCTGATTCTCATGTTCATCAAGATCAAAAATACTTTTTCTAATATGCATACATGTATAACCATGATTACAGGACAGAAGACGAGGAAATGCTGCAGGGCCAATTCGGCCAAAAGTAATAAATTCAATCTATTCCCTTATCATGCTTATTATAAGTGACCATGCAATCTTGTCATTTTCATCCTTTTACATTTTCCGACAGTGGTAAATTAAATATTGATTTGTGTCTTTTATTGATTTTCCTTATTTGACATTTCTAAAGGAAGCTCTTCTTTTCCATTCACCTCCAACACGTGCCTCAACAGTCATTTATTATTAATGACAAAATATGACCTGACAGATGTGGCTTTATTTATTCCACCTGACAAACTTTATATGCATCTAAATCTCTTGTTTAATACTCATGGATAAACACGATAAAATCTGGTGCAACATTTGACACAATGATATTGCATTTTTTTGTTTGTTTCGGATATGCATTGACGTTTTATTGATTTTTCTTTTATTTATTTATTTTTTTTTTTTGGAGAATCTTGCAAAAGGTGAGAAACCCCAGCTTACCTTAAGAAGGGGAGTTTTAGATTCACTGTCCCCAATGTTGCTCTTGGCATGCCACTCTAGAAGAACTTTTACTATATCAGCATGGCCTCTTGCACAAGCAAGATGCAAAGCAGTCCTGTTATAATATACAAAATATTTTAATGAATAGCTTTAAATCAGAAATTAGTTTCCAGAACATGTTTAATAACTATATTAATTTATATATTTTTATATAGCATGTACAATGTATAAAGTACATTCATATGTTACCAAATCCTGATTTCTTAATATGGTTAAATCTCTTAAATACTTTAATTAACAATCAGGAAATTTAAATATTTTCACTGTCTGTGCATGGTTGTTGCAAACTGAAGCAATTGTTATTTTAAATAATCACTGATAATACTGCATTGTCATCCATGCGCTTAAAAATGCAGGTTTTATATTTTCAAATTGGTGGCTATAACGTTATATGGCACAGACAACTGTGTCTTAATTCATGAATACCACCAAGAAATCATTTATAAAAACAATATATGGCACTTTAGTGTGTAGCACTTATTCAGGAATGTGCCAATACCCAGCGATTGCGCTAAATTGTAAATATGCAAATTTATGTACATGTGCAGTATGAGCAAAATGCCTAATAATATTAATAATATTTCTTTAATGTAATTTTTTGTGTGCAATCCACTGAGTAACAATTATAATATACATAAAGTACAAGTATGTCAATGTGTCGCCTAATTTTGAATGTCTTTACAATTTAAGGCTAGGTATTTAAACTCATTGAAATGACATTCTTAATACTTTTAACTGCCCCGAAAGATTTTAGTATTGACTTCTTTAAACATGCAGATCCCGTAAATTTAAATACATTGATCATGTTGATCATTATGTTCTGTTGGTATCAACAAACTTATATATGTCTTTGAAATGTTTACAAAGTACTACAGAAAAACAATCCAAATTCCTCAAGCATACCGTTATCTCAAAAGATGACAGCGGAATGCAATGAAATACAAGTCATATCTTGTTGTACTGGGCAAATGTACACCTGTATTTTAAATTACCTACGTCCACTATTGCGGATAAGCATGCCGCTTGTTTTTTTTCTCAAATAAAATAATATGACCGTAAATACCTGTTTTCTTTGTCTAGAGAGCTTGTATCCTTTTTCACAAGTTGCACTACTTTGGACAAATCTCCAGTCCATGCTGCTTTGTGAAGTTTCGGGAGATCTTTTTCGCGAACAACATAACCAGTCTCTGTCCCTCCCGTAGCCTCTTCAGAGCCAGCTGCCTGTGGGTCGTAACTACCCTGTCTCTGGGTCTTCTTCTTTATTGTTTTAATAAATTTCTTCATTTTCGACGATAGATACTAGTTTTCAAATTCATAAGAGGCTGTTGCTGGTTTGAACATCGGCCATGACTGTAAACAAATGACATCGGAAGTCTCTTTAGAAAAGTCAGAGAAGTTTCGAATGTCGATTACATATTTTGGCGCGCTTTCTGAAATAGAAAAAACGAACGAATCCCTGAATAAAAGACTTTCCAATAAATTTGTTATTAAAATGGTGAATGAATTGACTCAAAGGCATTGGAAGCAAATAAAAGTGTGTGTGCGTGGGGGGGGGGGGGCTACATGAAAGGGAGGATAAACAATCCCCAAAAAGAAATTTAAGTAATAATTCAAATCAAGTTATTATAAATAGTTGATAAGTTAGGTTATTTGAAAACCGGAGTTATGTCCAAGAGACGATGTAGTTACGATATCGACACATTACTTTTTTTTTTATATCAAATCACACAATTATTTATCTCATACGACTATCGTTTTAACAAAACTTAAAGACTTCCCCTGCAAAACTACATGAAGATTGCAAATTCAAATTGATGACATGTAAGAAAGTAGATCGTGTTCAAAATTTAGAAATTTTGCTATCTGCGTCTTTGAAAACATTATGTGACAATTGCTGGAGCTTTACATCAAGCGAACTTCTGACTGAAAGTTGCAAGGACCAAGGGATCATGAAAATTAACTCTGTTCGATGGCAGTACAAAACGTTCTAGGCAAGTCCAGATTCATTGTTGATCCATGGTAAGTTACACCTACATAACTAGGTAGGCAAGCTTAGTATAATATAAGCTAAAGAAAGCATTGTGGAAGATGTTAAAGGAATCTTATAACAACAACTTAACTGCTAGGCTTTACTTTCTCCGAAAACGATTTAAAGGCGCGAGGGGGGGGGGGGGGGGTTAACATCCGTCTTCAAGTAGCCAATACACTGCAGGTACCTTGATCAAATAAGAAACTTCTTTGACATATAAATTAAAGTCTTTTTCATGCTTTTAACGACATTATTGCTCTTAAACGCAAGAATTTTTACAGTGTCAAAACCGGAAGTGCTATTTATAAAGCATCTACCCGTTGATAAAGCATAGGTTTGTCCAACGGTGTATATCATCCACACGTATGAGATAAAAGAATTTCCAATAAATGTGTTATTAAAATGGTGAATAAATTGACTCAAAGGCATTGGAAGCAAATAAAAGTGTGTGTGCGGGGGGGGGGGGCTACATGAAAGGGAGGATAAACAATCCCCAAAAAGAAATTTAAGTAATAATTCAAATCAAGTTATTATAAATAGTTGATAAGTTAGGTTATTTGAAAACCGGAGTTATGTCCAAGAGACGATGTAGTTACGATATCGACACATTACTTTTTTAAATGTAGTTTACTATAATATTTCTTTATACTTGTGTGTTTATTACAATACTTAATTCATGTTTTAAGAAGTTTTCCTTAGTTTAACCATATTTTATTTGAACATGACAAGCAAACAATACAGGCAAGAAGTACAAAAATCAAAAAGGATTCGGAAACAAGTTTCAAATTTTTATGCTAATCCGATTTATGATAAAGATGAAGGATCCTTATTAGATAGAACTTTACATAACACGGTATACGTATAAAGCTGCTTACAACAATATTTGAGATTGACATACATATTGAATATGAAATCATGTTAAATTACACATGCAAATGAAAGTTTTTCTTACTGTTAATATCCACGTTATCGTGACGATATCGCCTGAATCATGATTGTTCAAAGAATTATCCATGGTTAATATCTATCCTTAATATTGTGTCTTTAACATGTGTTATTTGAAAAGTATCTTTTATTAAACTGTAGTGTCGATATCGTCGATATATATCGACGAGATCTCATCGATATCGAATCATGTTTGCTCAGCCCTTGGTAAATTATGTCTCTGTATTTTGTATGTGTGTTTCTGTTAAATTACTTTTACGACAATTGTACCTGCCATCGATATCGTATCGTATCGATATCGAATTATGATTGTCAAAAACATATTTCTTTACCAACCTTCATCCTAATACAAAACCAGTTAACCTTTATTTTTAACGTACCCCAAGACAATCTAACTTCTGTGTTTCTTTATGCAACGCTTCTGCATATTTACTCCCTGATTATAAGTTAACCCTACTACCGATATCATATCGATATCGAATCGTGATTGTTAAAACTTATTTAACAACTTTTACTCTAGCCAACATCTTACTCTAAAACTCGAAAACTGAAGTGGAAAAAAATCTTTAATCTTATGCAGTTTAATATAAACATTTCTGATTCTAAAGGAAAAATTACTCTATTAATATTATTTCTAATTAATGACATGCGTCTACATGTTATAATTCAATCTGATTTTAATCAGAGAGAGAGAGAGAGAGAGAGAGAGAGAGAGAGAGAGAGAGAGGGGAGAGAGTGTGTGTGTGTTTTAGATTTGCAATTTAGCTACCATTCAATTAATTGAGCCCTGGAGCAAAAAAACATTAATATTTCCGTTTTTGAGGATACCCTTAATGTTTCAAAATAAAACTGCATGGACTGTCGTGAACGTACAATAGCTTGAGAAAAGCGTAAAGTGTAAATTTTCCTTAAATAACAAAATAATCAATATAAAGAATTTCCTGAATTCAACAAATGAAAAACAAGTACTCAGATAGTAAAATTTATTTTAAATGGAAGTGTTTTGAAATAAAATGAAAAATTCGGAAAACTAATATAACTTATTCTCGCATCATTTCTACGGTACATCTTCTGAGGTAATGAGATTTTAAAAATAAATTCATAAAGGTTCCCGTCTGCGTTGAATTCATGTTCAGTCTTATCTGTCAGTCAAGATCAAGGTCTCTGAGAAACATTCTTACATGCTATTATTTCGCGAAATAACGCGAAGGCCTAACCCGAAAGTTACACGTATAACGTGAAAGTTTTGCGTTTATTGTTTTGAAAATAATTACTCTACGACTAGGCCCAAAAAGTTAGTAAAAGACTATGAAATGAAAACGAACATTTTAAGTCGGGATCGGCCTTCGATTTTCTCAAGCATTTCCCAATGGACAATGGCTGAGTGTGGAGACGACATTGTCTTTCAGTCGTCTTTAGATATCAACAAAAAGCCACACCAGGTTCAGCTCACACGGAGGCATCTTACATGGGACGTAGCCTCTCCAGGAAAGCCGTCCCGGAAAGCGGACAGTCCGTCATCGCAGCCATTTATCGGTAAGATTATTTGGGTCAACAGATTTGGTAATTTGCAAATCAAATGTCAACAAACAGTAAACAAAGCTGCAAAGGAGTGAAAAGTTTGCTTATGCGTAGAAGAAACAAAGACAAAAAATGACCATGATAGATGTAAAAAAAAAATTGAAACTACTGTACTATGTTGAAAGTAAAATACACTGGAGATGGATCAAATTTATATTTTAGAATGTACACTATATCTTTCATTCGAAAAGTTGTGGTGGAATGCCCTAACCACCTCTACCGTGATGGCTCAAGACTTGACTGTTTCAAGGCTCACCTTCGTCTATAAGTCACCAGCCAAATAATTCTTATTTTAAACTCACTTGTAAATAGACTGTTACATTTTTAATTTTTTTTAAACATGCGCACACCTGGTGGCATAATAGTCAGCTAATTGACAGAGGCCACCTACCAGTAGAAGCAGCAGTAGAAACGGTGCGTCGATTTACCCAAAAGAATCCAAAAGAACCCAAAAGGACCCAAATGTAAATTAAAAACAACACAAAAGGACTTGAAATAAAGAGAATAAATTAATATTTTATGAACATGCACTTCCATATTTGATTTAAAATAAAACTTAGATTGGGGGGTGTATGGGAAGGGGTGGGGGTCCCCCTCCAACCCCCATCCCCCCACCCTGACCATCCCAGATACCAAATGCCTAGAACATGTCATAAAATAAAACTTATTTCTATATTAAATAATTATCATGTAGTAATATATGGTAAAATAGGAGATAGGAGAAATATAATAATACATTGTTATTTTCAGCTAAAATGAATTAAAAAAAAAACATATCTGACCTGCGTTTTATGTGCTATATAAGATATATGTTATTTCTCAAAGAAAAGTTGCAACGATAAAAATTTATGTTTTTGCCAACTTTTATGTTAACTTATAATATAATATTCATAATTTAATATAAATTATTAATGTTCAGTATATAATAATATATTCATTTTGAGTCCTTTTGGGTTCCTTTTGGGTAAATCGACGCATGCACCCATCAAAAATCATTAATTTTGTATCTATGTAAGGAGTATATCTGTTATGAATCAGTATCAAAGTATATTTTTTTAGGTAATTAAATATAATAAATGGGAATTCTGTTTAAATAAAGAAGGTAAACTGAGTATATAGTCTGATCATACACACAGTCAAACCTTAATTGCTGTCTGTATAGCAGTTTGGGATATATAGACTGTGGATATCTGAGTGTAGCTTAGTGGAAGACTCAGCACCTGTCCTGACTAATGCAAGGGGTCCCAGGTTCAATTCCCAGTCCAGCCATATATTGACATAAATTTTTTGTGTAAAATATGTTTAAATTGTGCATTTTAATATGTTGAAATGCATTTCGAGGCCCCTTATCATGGCTTGATGGGTAATTAAAATGTCTTGTAATTTGTATTTCGTATTTTCTTTATGCATTTCTCCTTTCCTAATAAATTTGATGACCAGTGTATGTGTGTGTGTGTGGGGGGGGAGAGCTTGTTCACGTGAGAAATATCTGAAAGGGCCCGTGAACTTTTGTCTTGGAGGATGAAGATTCACTTACTGATCTGTTTATGGAAGGAGAAATGTAGCAGTACAAGCAATATGAATGGTAGATATCAGCGTCGTTAGTTCAGTGATAGAGCACCTGACAAGGGATCCCGGATTTGATTCCCAGTCAAGCCATAACATTAATTCTATTTTATGCATTTCTCTTTTCTTACTACATCGGGAACTCAGTGAAACTTAGAGAATGTTTACTTACGAGTAGCTATTAATTAAAAAAACTTATATCTTAATTCTTTAATAACTGTGGAACTGCCTTTTTACAGAGGAAATAAAATATAGGTATAATGTGGTGAAACATAGTATAACAGAACAATAACAGAACATAACAAATTGTTTAATATACAGTGTTTTAAAATTATTCATCAACTAAAACTTTGCCAAATGTTATCAATTTGCCCTGCAAAAGAGTATTTATGGTACTGGATTATATCTCACAGTGAAGAGGTTGATTAAACATGTTGAATGTACTTAAGGAATTATTTTCATTGCAACAGGCCACTCGGGATGTAAACATGTGCCATTAAAAGAAGTGATTGCCGTCAATCTAGAACGCAGTTTGAACAAAGTAACAACTCCGAAGTCGACCAAGAAGAGCTCCTCCACCCCCCTGAAGGACTCCCCCATTTATATAGAGCTCCAGGCTATTCATCCTGTCTCTTTCTCTGTCCATTTTGTCAAGCGATGCCCCAACCACAAATGGAAAAAGAAGAAGGTGACATTTTTCTGCCAAGGGGAAAACATATGCAGGACATGGGTTGACAAGATTGAGGAAGCACTTTCAAATCCAGGTAAGGCATAGTCTTCTTAGATTTAACATGTTTAGAGCATTGTCTTCATAGATTGTTTATCGCAGAGTCATAATGCTCATGACAAGAGTTATAATGCTCAAGAGCAAGTATAGCTATAGAGAATTGTCATTTCTTTACAGTTGTTTAATTTGTAACAAATTGTTAAATTCCTCTTAATTAAAAACAAAATTAGGTAAATTACATTTAGAATCATCACAATTCGTGTTAAAGGCTAGCATAATTTTCTTTCTAAGAAAGATAGGCCATACATGGAATCATTGGAATAAAATGTTTTTAAGTTTATTGCATGATAATCGGAAAATAATTGCTCAAATGAATAATTGATTGAGTGAACCAGCAAGGGAGTTTTGGGTAGTAGACTGTACAGATAATCTTATTATAAATTGCAGCCATGTTAGTGTCTACAGAAGGAAATGAAGATAATATTAAATATGTCAGATATTCCTACACAGTTCTATCCGGTCCCTAGCTGCAATAATGTAGCCCTCTCCGATTTTTTTTTATCTGATATTTTCTGGAGAGGGCTACAATTCCATCGCACCTCCGTAATGGTGCAAATATATTTTTTTGATACGGGTGATTGGAGGCAAAATAAATTATTTTTACATTAAACTTACTTCTTATAAGACGGAATTTTTATTCACTGTCAACAAAATAGCCTGTTAAACTCGAAAACCATGTAAAATAAATCTGTGTCTTTCCCAGCTGCAATATTCAGCAGCCATGACAGTTCACGCGTGACGTATTGAGACTTTCGCTTGAAATTTGGAACAACCAAATAAAGCAAATGTCGATGTTTATAAACGATTGTGCTATAATATATTACAAAAACATCGATAAATAAAACCATTTCAAGTGTTATTTTTGCGCAAACAGCGATACGTATGCTTAAAATAAGGGAATTCCTAGTAGATCCGCTCCTATAGAACCTAAATTCTCATTGGCTGTCCCAAAATACAATCCATCAAGGTCAGTAAACATGGCGGATAAATTCAAGTTAAGCTGTTGACACACACGAAAAATAACCGATATATGGATCGTTGTGAATATTTTTGGATCGATTTATGTTTTGCATAATTACATATTTGGATTCCAGGTAAGAGATGATAATAAAATAGCCGTTTATAGATAATTTGAGCCGAAATCCGTGCGGGAGTGATCCACTGCCGCATCTGCACCATTATAGAGATCCTAAGGAGTTGTAGCCCTCTCCCAAAAAAAAAAAAAAAAAAAAAAATCGGAGAGGGCTACATTATTGCAGCTATCCGGTCCCTTATGGCACGTGTTAAAATTGATCTGCAGATAAAAATATAAATGTATTTTTGTAGATTGTCTATAAATTTTCCCTGAGAGAATTCTTGTTGGAGAATAACTATTAACTTCTATCTATAAGTCTATTGAGTTAATGCGACTTTTTTAATGAATGCTGGATTTTTTCCATAGGCTGTTATAAGAATAAAATAAACATATTTTTAATAGTAGGGGCGAAAAGATGGATATCTATGTAGATTTTGTGAACTCATCCCTGATTCCAGATCATGCTGACAGAGTACAGTATCAATCAATCAAGGAAGAGATTATACTAACTTATGTTAAAAAAAATAAGAGGCATGTTTTACATGTACATGTATTACCAGTGAAACAGTCGGCCTTGTATCTGGTCTTCATAACAGCCCATAACACTTTATGTAATTAGATGATAAGCAATGACATGATATAATAGTCACCTCACCCATTAAGACTTATGCATGTTAGCTATAATCAATGATTATAATGGTCATGAAGACATGATATAAGATTTAGATGCTATAATTATTGCCTATACATGTATTTTAATAGAGACAAAAATGTGTAATCCACATTTATCCATATTTATTCAACTTGTTCTGGAGCATACTATAGAAACATCAATTTTCTTGAGCATAAAATTTTGTTGATTTGTCATGTATTTGTCAAAACGTAGTCTATAAAAATTTTATATAGATTATTTTGTTGTTTAGAAATTAAACCAATGCAAAATGTAGTCATATAAAAATTTTATATGGGATTTATTTTGTTGTTTAGAAATTAAACCATTGCAAAATGTAGTCATATAAAAATTTTATATGGGATTTATTTTTGTTGATAATTGTTAACAACAAAATAACTGAAATTTAATCTCCAAAGAATATTTTTGCTTCTACAGTAGTACAGCTTATATCTATAGTATTAATATTACTTGAATTTTACATGTATTACATTGCTTGTCTGTAGAAATGATATAAATACTTCTAGGAGATATACCATATATGCAGAATTTTTAGCAAGGATTTAATTTGGGCATTATTAGCAATGGTGCCAAGATCGTTAGAATTGAATATCGCTAAAAATCAATTGCGCTTAATTTGTAATGGCTTCTATAGTGAGCTTTTTAAAATCGCTAAAATTACGTCTTGCTAAAAATAAAATACCAATTTTTAAGGAAAAATTTCTAAGATTGAGTCTTGCTAAAATTTACACTTATACGATAATGTATTTTATGTTAATTATTGTGTTGTAATTTTTCAGTACTAAAAAGACCAAGGAGCTTACTGGTGTTTATTAATCCATTTGGGGGGAAGAGGCGAGCCCCGCGGGTCTACGAGGAATCGGTGGCCCCTCTTCTGGATCTGGCCAAAATCAAAACCCATGTCATCAGTACGTATAAAAGCACAGAAATATTGAATATTAAAAAGCGTTGGCTTCAAGTTGAGATGTACATGAATATCGTATTACATGCATTATACAAGTATAAGATATACCTGCATACAAAAGCATTATGCATGTTCATGCAGAGTTGGGTAAACTGTAGAATAAATTGGATACCGGATTTCCTGTTTTGATATTTTAATGTATCTTGTAACTGTAATTCAGAATCCTTGAAATATGATTAGAATTTAGAACTAGTTATACTCAAGTTGTAGGAGTACATGTATATTAGTCATGATATGCCAGTACCTAACACTCTCTGATCAGATTTATCTTGTTTCAGCTACCACACATGCAGGGCATGCAAGAGAGGTTTTGGAGAAGTACAATTTACAGTCAGTGGATGGGTGAGTAGTTCCAGTTCAGCAGTTTGTAATGTATTCCTTGCTTATAGCGAGCGCAGTGAGAAACATTGCTAGCGAAGCAAGCCATATAGACTAACATATAAGAACAGATGAATTTCAGAATGATATATACTTCCAGTTCGAGAGTTGTGTTTCAAATTGAAGCTAAAACATACGTTTATAGGAAGGAGAAACATGTCTCATAAGTTAACCATGCTACCTAGTAAACTGTTCTTTTTGTTCCTTAATTTAAAAAAAAAGATTTAAGAGACCAAGGTAAGCCTCTCCTCAGAAAAAGGGGAAAAAATTAAGGTACTGAAGTTTTAAACAAAAATTGCAGTTACTAGCCCGGATGCTGGAGGCCATATACATTTCTTAAATTAATCTTTTTGGATACCTGACTGCGTATGTATGTCACAAAGAGTTTTAATGCTAAATAAATGACTTCTTTGTTATGTTAGTACTAATTTTTGATAAATGTACTAATATCATCTAATTTTTATGCCCCGCCATGAATATTGCCGGGGCATATAGTGTTTGTCATGTCCGTCTTCCGTTCTTCCGTCCTTCCGTCACACTTTGCGTTTAGCTCTGTTCAAAGCTAAGTTTCAAAGAAACTATCCAAGATATTTTCATCAAACTTCATATGCTGATAGATACTGATGAGAGCTATGCAACTGCATCAACATTATTTTACCTTGACCTTTCCTTTGACCTTGACCTCACTTTTCTTAAATTAGTGTTTAGCTCAGTTTTAAACATACCATTCAAGATGGTGTTATCAAACTTCACATGTGGATACAAACTTGCACGGAGGATGCATCTAAGGATGAACATTACCAGACTTGCTTCGGATGCTGGATCTGACCTACATTTTCCAGATGAGTGACCAGGTTAAAGTTTTTGGAGCAGGTCCATTCCTAAGGAACTATAAGCCCAACTTGGACCAAACGTGCATGGATGATGCATCTAAGGATGGACACTACCAGACTTGCTTCCGATGCTGGATCTGACCTATATTTTCAGTCCAAAGTAACTATAAGTCCTACCTGAACCCAACTTGCATGGATGATGCATCTAGGGATGGACACTACCTGACTTGCTTCGGATGCTGGATCTGACCTATTTTTTCATTCCCAAGTATTATTGTTTTACAAACAGCATGACAGTTAGCTAGATGGGGCGTGCTAAAATTTTGTGACCTGATTTTCATTTTACTCAGTCATTGGATGCTTTATTTCAATGGAATCAATACTAATTTGCATATGAAACTCAGAATACTACAATATCCTGAGAATACTGGCCAATCACATTGAATGATTGTTCACCAGTGCGGCATTTGTACTCACCAGCAACACGTGGTCAGTCAAAGCCCGTTCTTTGTCCTCAATAAAGCATGTAATATTTTTGTTATGATTTTACCGGATGGTTTTATATACGTATAAGAAAATTCAAAGAATAGAATTAGTAAGGCTACTCTGCTGCTGTTGTACTATGCAGCTATCAATATCATCATTGTAGGTTGTAAAACTTGCTTTGTCCGTCCACGTGTAACTGTTGTTTACTGCATGCTAGTAAACATGTGATTCAATACGATTGGTCAGTATTGTCAGTGGTATTGTTGGGTTCTCTGTTTCATATGCAAAGTATTTTTGATTCCATTGAAATCAAACATCCAATCGATGAGTAAAACGATTATCAGCACACAAAAATTTAGCACGCCCTATAAAGCAAACTGTCACGCTGTTTGTAAAACAATAATAACTATAAGTCCTACCTGAACCAAATTTGCATGGATGATGCATCTAAGGATGGACACTACCAGACTTGCTTCGGATGCTGGATCTGACCTATATTTTCATTCCCAAGTAACTATAAGCCCTGCCTGAACCAAACTTGCATGGATGATGCATCTATGGATGAACACTACCAGACTTGCTTCGAATGCTGGATCTGACCTATATTTTCATTCCCAAGTAACTATAAGCCCTACCTGAACCAAACTTGCATGGATGATGCATCTAGGGATGGACACTACCAGACTTGCTTCGGATGCTGGATCTGACCTATATTTTCATTCCCAAGTAACTATAAGCCCTACCTGAACCCAACTTGCATGGATGATGCATCTTGGGATGGACACTACCAGACTTGCTTCGGATGCTGGATCTGACCTATATTTTCAGTCCAAAGTAACTATAAGTCCTACCTGAACTCAACTTGCTTGGATGATGCATCTAGGGATGGACACTACCTGACTTGCTTTGGATGCTGGATCTGACCTATATTTTCATTCCCAAGTAACTATAAGCCCTACCTGAACCAAACTTGCATGGATGATGCATCTAGGGATGGACACTACCAGACTTGATTCGGCTGCTGGATCTGACCTATATTTTCATTCCCAAGTAACTATAAGCCCTACCTGAACCAAACTTGCATGGATGATGCATCTAGGGATGGACACTACCAGACTTGCTTCGGATGCTGGATCTGACCTATATTTTCATTCCCAAGTAACTATAAGCCCTACCTGAACCAAACTTGCATGGATAATGCAGCTAGGGATGGACACTACCAGACTTGCTTCGGATGCTGGATCTGAAAATTTTTATTCCCTAGTAACTATAAGCCCTACCTGAACCAAACTGATCAAATTTTATACAAATTTTCATGTTGTTTTACTAATATATCCACGGCGGGGCATTCATGTCCTATGGACATATTTCTAGTTGTATTACTGTGAAATCGCAAAGTTTTATAGGGTTTTAATTTTTGTTGTTTTCGAGATATTTGAGACCCACAAATTCATGTCCACCATGAAATATGAAATGTTACATAACTACTAAACATTTTCTAATTCATGAAATCAAATCCCCAAAAACCAAGAGTTTTTCCTCAAACCACAAGAATTTGACCCCACAAAAATATGAATTTTACAGTTTTTATGATCAGTTTTGAGTTACTATTTCAAAATATACTGTAAATCAACTATTATTCAGCTCATCTTTTATTCGCGATTGGTCAGTTTGAAATCAATCCACGATGATTAATTTTCGGGTCTGAGAAAACATTCTCTACTAATATAAAGCAAAATAAATGGTTCACGGCAACAAATATTCACGAATTAAAGTAGGTCGTGAAACTCGTGATTATTTGTGGCACACAAATAAAAGTTGGTTTACAGTATATTGTTTTTGTGCAATGAATTTATAAATGTACTTCTGTTTGGAAGGGTGGTGTGTGTGGGTGGGGATGGAATGTTCACAGAGCTCCTGAATGGTCTGGTCAACAGGAAAATGTCCGAGGCAGGGAAAACTCAGACCATAACAGAACAACCCATCTCTCCAGATCTACGAATTGGAATCATTCCAGCAGGTCTGTCTGTAAAGAGTCTGTCAAGGTCAAACAAATGAAAGATATAAAAGTGAATAGATATACATGTATTGTACTAGATATAGCAATTAACAATTGTTGGTATTTACTAAAGACTGTTCTTCAGGCTTGCAGGTTTAAAGTTCATTTGATTTAATTTCTTTTGTTATGCCCCTCTTTGAAGAAGGGAGGGCTTATTGCTTTGCTGCTGTCTGTCGGTCTGTCAGTCCATTTAGTTTCCGTTCATTTTCTTCACAACCGTTGCACATACTGAAATGAAATTTGGTATACAGGTATATCAGATGAATGTCTAGGTCAAGTTTTGTTTGGGGTACGATCGCATCATAATTGACAGAGTTATGCCCCTTGAACTAAGAAAAATTCCAATTATTTGCAGTTTACATTCATTTTCTTTCGAGAGGTTGCACATATTGAAATGGAATTAAGTATACAGATTAGTCAGATGAATATCTAGGTCAAATTCTGTCTTGGGTATGATTGCTCCATAATTGAAAAAGTTATGCCCCTTGGACTTCCAATTATTTGCAGTTTTCATTCATTTTCTTCGGAGAGGTTGCACATATTGAAAAGGAATTTACTATACAGATTAGTCAGATGAATATCTAGGTCAAGATATGTTTTGGGCATGATCGCACCATTTTTGACAGAGCTATGCCCTTTTGGACTTAGAAAAATTCCAATTTTTGGGGGAGGGGGGCATAAGTGTTTTACAAACATCTCTTGTTTTTTTTTTGTTAAAACCTTTAGAAGCCTATTATGTCAGAGGACATGTATATCACCTAGTACAGGTTGTATGTTTTTATTTTAGGTTCTACAGATGCCATATGTTATTCCACGACAGGGATCAATGATCCTGTGACCTCAGCAATCCACATTATCGTAGGTGAGACAAAAGACACAAAATATTTTAATTTCATAGTATAATCTCGATAAAAACTCAATCTAAAGTGAAACCTGTCCTATCCGACATGCACTGGGAGATGAATTTTATGTTGAAATAGACAAGGTCTCAGATTAGACAGTGTACAAAAACATGGAAAATAGTAAAATAGGAATGAAATTTAATGTCGGAATTCGCAGTGTGACATATTACACAAGTGCCAGATAAGACAGTTTTCAAAGTATTTAGGAATAATTACCCTTTGTTTGAAATTTGATAAAAGAATATACCCAGTGATATTTATTTTAATTTCCATATAACTATATGTAGAGTATGAGTACTCAAAAGTCCTGACATCTTACAATTTACAAAAGATACAGACAAAAAAAGGGGTGTGCTGTTTTAATTATTGAAGATTTGACTTGTAGGTGATAGCACAGCCATAGATGTCTGCTCAATCTATGACGGGGACCAATTTTTACGATACAGCAGCTCAATGTTAGCGTACGGTTACTATGGTGATATGTTAAAAGATAGTGAAAATAACAGGTGGATGGGACCAAAGCGGTACCAAATTGCAGGTATTGATTTAATCTGTAGCAGTAATCACAACACTGAATAAAGAATAAAACTCAGCATTGTCCATTTACATGCAGACTATAGCTGAGAAGAAAAGTTTTAGAATACACATCTTTTTTTTCTTGGGGTTTGAGTATACATTTCCTTGAAATTAATAAATTAAAGACCTAAATATAAAGCAGGTTGGAAACATGTTAGCATCATATTCAGCTACCAATCTTGTTATAATTACTTTTAACATCAATATACAAGACAAGGGCTGAAGATCAGTAGTGCTATGACACCTTCTCTTAAACTGCACCCAACATGTACTGATATTTAAAATGTAAAAGGCAGTAGACTCCTAATTCAATAACAATATTTTCAGCATGAAAGCTTGTAATAGGATGTTGTACAACATCTATGAAATTTTGTTTGGAAAATGCAATAAAATATGTTATTTTTTCTTTACAGGTGCAAAGAAGTTTTTGGGTAACAAGTCTTATGAAGGGGAGGTGTCATTTAAACTGGCCTCCTCGACCGATTCTAACCCCAGGGACAAAATCACCTGTAACTCGGGGTAGGAACTTTAATTTCTCTAATTTGTTAAAAAAGATGAACTTGTTTATTTTATTTAAAGATCTTTCAGTTTTGAATTTAGACATACATAAGAGAAAAGTGAAATTTGTAATCCATATTTGCAACACACTATCATGCCTTTAGTTTTCAGAAGACTGGTTAAGTATCTGAAATTATGGTAACAAAAGTGCTTCAATTATTGTAATTTCTTTGATTAGGGAAATGAACTGGATATGATATTTGTATGAATTTGTATACATGTATAATTAAAAATATACATATCTTTACCTCCATTATAGTTTGCTCAAAATGAAATATATATTTTAATGCTTCATTTTCAGTTGTAATATTTGTGCCATGAGTAAGAACTCACAGGAGGAAAAAGGTAAGCCATTAAAAAAGGCAAAAAAGTTTGAAATATTTCTTAAAGCAGTAATTTTTTCCCCCGAAATAATTGCCTGATACGATAAATGTACATAAAGTTTAAAACATCTGCAATGCCCTGTAGAATCTACCACCTCCCTCTCTTATGCAGATGCATGTTGCCAGGGTGTTTTACAAAAAAAAAAAAAAAAATTAAAATGTTCTTCTGTTAATGAATATTTAGAAGTTTACAGTACTTTGTTTACCTCACATTTGTCACTTTATATATGCAAGTATTAATTGTGTAAAATTGTGTTATGTTATGACTGTTCATGACTGTATGCTAACATGGTAATTGTCAATAAAGTGAATTGAATTGTTTATTTTAGGATCTGAGGGGTGGCACACAGTGAGGGGTAAGTTTTTAGCAGTGGCCAGCTTCACCATGAGCTGCCGGTGTCTGATCAGTCCCCTGGGCCCCTCCCCCTACTGCCATCTCGGGGACGGAACCTCCGACCTGCTCCTGATACAGCAGTGTTCTCGTGTCCAGTTCTTACGTCACCTGTATAGGTGTTCCACAACCAACGGCAACCAGGTAAGTCATATACATGAGATAATATTTACATAAATGATCATATTAATGGTACATGCATAATTAAAATTGTGGAATTCATAAATTAATGGTCATATGAGGGGGATCATTTTAGAAAAGTGACCTTGATTAATCTTGTGACCTTGTGAGCTTTTTGTATTTATTTTGTATTTGAAATAACAAATATACAGGTCAATGATCATAATATGCAAGATTATTCATTATGGATTAAATTTAAATGGTAGAGTTATTATTACAACTTTAAATTTTCTTTTCCAGTTTGATCTGCCATTCATTAAGATATTTCGGGTGAGGGAGTGGAGTTTTTCTGTCCCGACGACCAATGACTCTGAGAGTGACACCCAGTCTAGATCCTCCACCTCCAGCAGGGCAAGCCGTGCCTCCACTCAGAGTGTGTGGAACTGTGACGGGGAGGTCGTGACTTCCATTAACCTTCAGATCAGGTAGAAACACTTAGTGGTACAGAGAATTGATCTCTTTTTCAGCCAAGCCCAAAACAAGTACATACATGTTTTCCCTCAATTCACTGAATGAAACCATTTGAAATATGCTGTGGGTTGGGTCCAATGGCAACATGCTGACTCAGGACCCCTGGCAATATTCTTGTAGTGTAGATTCATCATTTTAAAAATCTTTCAAGATAGCTATAGGGTAAGAACTAAGAATTTAGAGTAAGAAACGATAAAACAATAACAAATGATTATACTGACTTTATCATTTAAAACACCAGCCTTTTTTCACAATTTCACTCTGACATACATAATTTCGACTCAAATGAGTTTTATGAATCTTTTGTTTTGTGTGTTTTCTAGCAATTCTTAGCAGTCATCTTAGTTCTGCAGTTCAGCTGTGTCAACTGTGTTAAGGAGAATGTGTCTGGTAAATGTACAGTTTATACTTTATTTCAGGACCCACTGTCAGCTGATCAAGCTTTTTGCCAGGGGGATCGAGGAACTGGAAGTAAACCCGTCCCAGTGCTGCACCCCGTGTTGTGATTCGTGTGACCCCGAGGACAAATACACTAGTATAGGAGGTCACCCCTGAGTGACCATCACAGGTAGATATAGGTCACATGAGAGATTATAACCGTCACACTTGATATGAAGCGAGGCACCTCAAGTGGTTCATTCATGTTACTTTGCTTTGAAATCACATTTCTATTTAGTGAATGCTGTCATTAGATCTTTTCTATTTGATGAAAGAAATCACATTCTTTACAAGTAATTGTTTCTGTGGGAAGGTTGTTTGAGTACATGTATTGCCATTTAGAAATGGAGTTTGAGAAAAAAAAGATGAAAGACGATAATGGTGTCTGTATGAACTTTTACAAAGACAAGATTTTATGCCCATAGATAGGATTATTCATAAAGTATGCGAAGAAGGAGGTGAATCAATAGCAGTCTGTGATACTATTTATGTTTTTAATGTCATAATTATGTTTATGCTGTATTTTTCTCAGAAATGTAGTACACTGTACATCATTATCAGATACTTGCTGCTGTCAGAGTTAACATGTTTTAACACACTATCCATTCATAGGACCAGGGTATATATTTTTTGAGAGTGTAAAATTATCTTCATCAAAAGAAGTGAACAAGAGGAAAATAGGAAAAATGTATCTGTCCAGTTTAGCATTTTCAAACAGTGTTTGTCATAGATTGCCTAACATTCCATTCAAACAACTTTTCACAAGCACACATAATAAATGTGGTGTGATGTACACATTTGTATAGTGTTCATGTATCTCTTCAACTATTCATCTATTCATCAAAATTTCATCTAATTTGAAAAGTATCAAAATAACCTAAAGTAAGTATTCTGTGCAATATTGTATATTTTAAGCTGTCTGTTTTCTTTGGAGGAATAAGGGTAGACAAATTGCAAATTAAATTTTTTTTAGTTTAGAAAATTAATACTTTGTTTCCCTCTTTAGTGGGAATTCTCTCTCTCTCTCTCTCTTTCTCTCTCCTTGAAGAAAAAAAGTTCTAAATTTCATCTGTCAACAAAGCATAATTAATGAGCATTTCATAAATCATATTGCATCGCTGAATCGTCAGTATTTTCCAAATTTCAAACAGGAAGAAATTTCATTCATTGAAACTTAGTTTTTACATGTAATTCAATTTTATTCATTCAAAAAAAGAGCCAAAATAATATTTGATTGAATCATTTAAAACTAAAAGTGAACTGTAAACCTATTTGCTGCTTGCGTACGTAGTCTGTTGTACATTAAATTCCCCCCCCCCCCAAAAAAAACCTCATAGCAATGAAAACAGTTCACTATAACTTTAACGTTCAGAAAATTGCTATTTGTGTAGTACTGTGTTATCTTATTCTGATCCTCTTTTTTCTTCAGTGATTCTTATCATGGTACAAAAATTAGCTGTGCTTGAAAATAATTGAATGGATGTTTATTTTGAAGAAGTATTAGAATTTCTTTGTTTTTTTCAAATAGATCAACATATTGATGGGAATCAAGTATTTTTCATTTTAGCATAATACTGTACACATTAATTTGACTCATCTAGGTTTTCTGTGATAATGTCGATCTCTATACATGTATACAAACTTTGAAATATTTTCACTGCATCAAGGGAGGAAACAAAAGCTTACCTTCAACAACACATGCACTAATATCAACTGAGAAATTTTGGACTTGTACAATAATATTTGGTGTAGGTGATATTTAAAATTTCAGTGTTTGACATTTTGGTACAGTGAAATACTTAAAAAGTTAATACAGTGAAATGCTTAAAAAGTTAAATCAATGCAAATCAACCAATGTTCAATGCAATTAGTAATCAGTTCATTGTGTATTGTAGCCATATATTTTTAAATACTTGTGTATCGAAATTTTAGACCTTTTCAATGATAATAATTGTGCTGATAGAAATATATTAAGCATATTTCAGTGTCTGCTAATTGGGTGCAATAGCTACTTTCAAGTTAAACCAATGCAAATCTATTTATATTCAATGCAATTAGTTATCAGTGAATTGTGTAATCATAGCTATATATTTTTAAATACATGTACTTGTGTATTGAAATTTTAGACCTTTTCAATAATAATAATTGTGCTGATAGAAATATATTAAGCATATTTCAGTGTCTGCTAATTGGGTGCAATAGCTACTTTAAAGTTAAACCAATGCAAATCTATTTATATTCAATGCAATTAGTTATCAGTGAATTGTGTAATCATAGCTATATATTTTTAAATACTTGTATATTGAAATCCCAAGAAGTCATTTAGATCCAATCGAAAAATATAGTAGCCTTGTATTCTGTAAGCTTTTATCAGGCATATGTATATAAACTTAGAATTCCTATTTAAAATAAGAAAGACAGCTTCTTTTTGAAAACAAAATATATAATAAATATTGCTTTCTCTTCAACAGAAATACATTGATTTGTAACTGTTTTGCTCCTTTATTGCCTTTTATTTCATGTGAATGTAAATCATTCATAACAATATAAATAATTTACAGTGCATTTCTGAGAGTTTGTATACAAGACTAAATTGCAAACCTTAAAATCAAATGTACAGGCAAACTCATGCAATATATCAAAATTGATTGTTGTTTGTACAGATGGAAGTAAAGTATGAGTGTGTTTTAGCTGTGTTTATGAACAAATCCTAGATGTCAATTTTTTATAGGACATTTGTGATGTGGTGAACTTCAGTGAAGACAGCATCTATTCAGGGGGTTGTAGTAGGGATGCCTTATTTTATGGAATTACATGTAGGAGTATCATAAGTGGGCTGGTAAAAAATTATGCAGAATTGATGCGCAGGAACAAAATATACACAAAACTCAAAATTTTTTATAAAAGAATCTTTACTTTAGTAATCAACAAAATTCCATTTCAAATTTGTTTCGATTTTTAAAAAAAATTGTAATGTAGTCTCATGATATTAAAGGAAAATCTGCATTTCACGGGTATCATGAAAATGGGTGCTCATTCTAATTGTAGACAGAAGCCTTGAATATTGCTTATTTATTATACATTTCATTGTAATCTCAAAAATCATAAAAAATTAATTAATGAGTATGATTCTGTAAGGTTGTTCTTGTAACTTTTAGCTATCTCCATATATCGCCATTTGCTGTACCAAAAAAGCAATATTGATCTATATATTTTTTAATTTTATCAATATTTATAAGATTGCAATTTATCTGCCTCCTTTTATAAACATATATTTTTGGAGCTCTAATTAATTATACACTACAGAAAGTCTTTAAAATTTTACCTGGTAATTTGAATTGTTGCTGTCCTTACCAAAGTTCACCACACAAGATTATATTTTGATTAACCTGCAAGTGAATCTTTATATAAGTTAAAGATTTTTTGCAAAAGATTATAGAAGTCATACTTTACTGTGTACTTCAACATGCCCAGGTTGCTCTTGAAAGAATAAAGCCCCCCACCCCCACACACACACATATACAGAGAATTATGGATAAAATGTTATTTGAAATATTAATAGCTTTTTTTTGGTCATCAATCAATGTTAATAATCAAAAGATACACCTAACTTTGCCAAAAATTTGAATTAGGTTTGAAGAAACAGTTTGCAATTTTGGGATGGTAACAGAATGTATTTTATTTTTATATATTTTACCAATTATAACATATTCTTCAGTCATTGAAACAGTTTAATTAATACACATGACAGATGTAAAACTGTATGTCAAATATCATATTTTTGAAGATGAATCAATGCAATTTATTTATTTTTACTAAATCAAGATTTTTTAACAATGCAGTTTTTCTAAATGTTTAAAGCTTGTATAGATGGAGCATATTTTTTATGTATATATTCGTTTCTATTGTAGAAGAAAGTTATCTCTTTTTATGATGTGTTAGAATGGAATAAAAAAAGAAAGACATTATATTTTTTGCACTTCAGTTGAACTATCTGCTTTGCTGTTTTTATTTATGATAGAAATGTTGTTTTTGTGAACCAAAATTGTTATGTTTCATGGCTTCAGTCATCATTGTTGATTTCTTAGTACTAAACTTGAATCCACATTTTGTAATTGTTGTTTTCATTTATGATTAATTAAATTATTAAATTGCCTGCATGGTGCAATGGTTAGAGTGTCTGCTCAGGAGTCGCACAGTAAGGAGTCAATCCTTACGTTTCGGGTTGGAATCTCACCATGTGGAGACTGGTCCCTTGGATGAGGCTTCTGTACATAATACCAAGGTTCCATGTCGCAGGTGCTGGCATGAAAAAGGTTCCTCACTGCTCAACGACCATAAGTGTCGAGTACAGGACATCTTAACAAATGTTAGTACAGGTAAAATTTGCAGCTCCATTGGCAAGTTATTGGGAAGAGTCTATTACTTAACCCAGTCAAGCAGTTTGGAGAAGAGATCCTGGTATGACTCTGTATTATGTAATTGGAGAGGAAAAAGCCTAATCCGATTGAACTGAAGTTAAGAAGTATATCCTTGAAGAAGTAAACAAGAGTGCAGCTCCCCTAGACAAGGACTACGAGTGCCTGGTACATGACAGAAACAGAACGTCATTTTCAAAATATATACATGAAGAAGGATATGGAGATAACGAACAGAAAGTCCATTAAACAACACAAAATAGAGTAGAGCAAACACGGACCTCCGAAACATCAGAGATGGGATCAAAATAATTTAACAGTAGGACACCTTTAATAAATAAAAATGGACAAACATGATAAATCCCCTCCAACCCATAACTTGAAAATTACTTGAACGGGCTTAGAAGAAGTACAAACTTGATAGAAAGGTATGTCACAAGGAATACATTTATGTATGAAAACCCTACCACCAACCATTCAAATTTTATGGCCAAGGTTAATGTTTTCCAAAAGTAGGTCAAACCCAGAGGTCAAAACCGCTTGTATTATCAGGGAATGTCTTGTTACCAGAAATACCTTTTAAAATATATATAAAAGTCCAAACAACAACCATTGTTCAGATTAAAATGTTATGAATGACAGTCAAACTATAAGTTCTTGCCAACACTTATTAAAGCCCTAGCATTAAAAAATTCAAAAGTAATTACATGAACGGGCTTAGACGAAGAAATACAAACTTGATAGAAAGGTATTATCACAAGGAATACATTTATGTATGAAAACCCTACCACCAACCATTCAAATTTTATGGCCAAGGTTAATGTTTTCCAAAAGTAGGTCAAACCCAGAGGTCAAAACCGCTTGTATTATCAGGGAATGTCTTGTTACCAGAAATACCTTTTAAAATATATATAAAAGTCCAAACAACAACCATTGTTCAGATTAAAATGTTATGAATGACAGTCAAACTATAAGTTCTTGCCAACACTTATTAAAGCCCTAGCATTAAAAAATTCAAAAGTAATGACCAAGGATGAAGTA